TGCTCTGTTCACACCTGCTCCCAATCTGCTCCTTAGTCCTCTCTTTGCTTCAGTCTCCCATAAATACTCTCTCTGTGCAGCTCCTCAGTGCTGGTTCCTCCTCCAACTCCGTCTTCCTCGTCGAGGTTGTTTCCCCCAGATGTCTCCGTAGTTTCTGGTTTGTTTGACTTTTTTCATGTTTGATTTTTGGATATTTGGATTCCTGCCTCTGCTGTCTGTTTACCTTTTATTAAATCCACAAGAAACTCACTTCTGCCTCCCTGCCTCTGCATTCGGGTCCTCAAACCTCAACCAAATCCTGACAAATAAGAAGAAAGACATTCCTCTGAACCTGCAGCAGCTGCTCCAGATTTCAGCTCTAGATTCAAACTTTAACCATTTAATTTAAGAGGCTTTTCTGCATGAAATATTCAAAGATCCTGCAGCATAATGCGGCCCAATGCCTGGTATCTGCTATCACCACGGCTGTTCCATTAAGTCATACCAACAACCTGAACCATCCCAGATCAGCTGGACTTCTGAGGCCCACCTTGGGGTACGGGTACTCCATCCCTCTGGGGTAGAGCGAGCCGGTAAAACGAGGCAGAACCATTCTGGGCACCAGGGTGTCATTGATGGTGAGGTAGGCCAGCCTGGAGCCATCTGGTGACCACCAGTGGGCCACCTGGGAGTCCAACACCTCCTCTGGAGAAACAGACATGTCCTGTACAGTTAGCATTGTTAGCCTAGCCTGAACCCTTTAGAAGAGGAGCTTCCTCCGTCAGAGAGGCTGTTAGATGCCTCAGAAATGATGAAGCAAAGGAATGGTCCAAATAAAATTTAAATAAATCATTAAAACTACATCAATAAACAAAGAAATATAGAGGGAGAAATATAGAGAAGCAAAGAAGGACATCACTGGAGAAACTTCAGGAAAAAATAACTTAATACGACTGAAAAGTAAGAAAATTAATTGAAATGAGATTAAATTCTGATGCTTGGAGAAAAGGTTAATTAGGTAAAACTTTGGCCGTAAATTTAGCAGGACACTCCTGGACGCTGCTGGACTCAGACTTACCCTCATACAGCCAATCAGCAATGCCATTGAAGACCACGCCCTCCTGTCCAGAGGAGGTGAGCCTCCATGAGCTGCTCTGGGTGTGATTCTGGTAGTAGATGTTATTTTCAAAAATATAGATCTGTGGAACAAAGAGAGAACCTAAGGATTCTGATTTCAACAAGAAGTCTTTTATTTACAAACCGTCCATCAGGGCCCCTCATACACCGTCCNAGGCTAACTGCATGCAGCGAGGCTAACTGCATGCAGCGAGGCTAAGGCAGACATCCCAAGTTTCCCGTAAGTTCCGGCAGTCTCCCTGATATCGATAGTTGTTCACTGATGCCGGTGAGTCAGATAAATTATCCCGGATTTTAGACTATGGGAGGTGGTGTTTTTTTAATGCCAGTGAGAGCGATCAGGCAATAATTCGTGCATCATGTGCGGATTAGAATTACTGCGATTGCACAGACAGCAATAGAGAGCAGGGTGTGAGGAGGAGGAGGTTGCTGGTGAAACCTGTGCAGCGTTTCTGTCCAAAGCGATGCTCTGATCAACCAGCGTTCCAGACGACTGGTTGATCAGAGAGCTGATTGGATCAGTCTGATAAGTTTCTCTGGTTCCTCTCTGGCAGTCGCCTAGTTACCACTCAAAGCTTTGCATCCTGGGAAACGGCAGAGGTTCAATCCTCCAGTAAAAAATTTAAATATAGGACTAATTTTACAACAGAATATATTAAAGTATATCCACGTCTAGTGAAGGTGAGGAACAGTGGCGGATCTAGACCAAATGTACCAGGGGGCCATCAGGGGGCCAGCGTGTTTTCATGGGGGCCCAGAAAAGCATGAAATAAAAATCAGGGCAAGAGATTCAAATATATTAAGAGAGCTGCATGAAGGGAAATTTATTTTCAATTAGGTTCAATAAAAATTCTATTTCTTATGAGGTCAATATAAATTTATAATTTAGGAATTTTACATATTTTTGACTCAATTTAAGTTAAACTATTGTTTTCTATAAAATCTGAATTAGAACTCAATAAAAACTGTTAAATTCATCTGTAAAAATTAGAGGATTATTTTTTTTATTTGTTGTGAAAAAAACATTTATCAGATGAAAACTGGGATCTTATCTCAGCACCACTGAAGCTATCACCTTATTGTTTTTGAATAATTAGTAAAACAGAATTTGTAAAGAAAAAGAGGAAAATAGATCCAAAGGACCAATCAGTAACCATGTCTGTTGCAGCGCAGATCATTGTTAGAATTTCTGGCATCTGTTAGATGCATCAATTAGTTTTTGGAACTTGGGATGTCTGCTAAGGCTTTATCCTGCCTCCTTTTTCAAAGGTCAGGATCTGAGCCAGAATGGATAAAGACAGCTAGGACTGATTTAAAGAACATATTAGAATACTGTTTTTTATTTTTGGCATTCATGTAAATATACTGGTGTGATCCTTTAGTTTAGATTTCATTGGTTTTTGGT